TCTCCATTTGGCCATTTCTGCTTTTTAAGGCATTTTTCTCCTCATTGACTTTTTGGACCTCTTTTGCCATTTGAGTTAGTTTATTTTTTAAAGTCTTATTTTCTTTAGTATTTTTGGGGTCTCCTTTAGCAAGCTGTTGACTCATTTTTCGTGATTTTCTTGCATCATTCTCATTCCTCTTTCTAATTTTTCTTCTACTTCTCTTACTTGATTTTCAAAGTCCTTTTTGAGCTCTTCCATGGCCTGAGACCAATTCATATTTTTCTTGGAAACTTTGGACGTAGGAGCTCTGATTTTATTGTCTTCTTCTGGTTGTATATTTTGATTTTTTTGGCCACCAAAGTAAGATTCTATGGTCTGAGTTTTTCTACTGTATGCTCATGTTCTCAGCAAGTTCCTTGACTTTTAAACTCTTTGTTAAGGTAGGGCTCTGCTTCCAGTATAGAGGGTGTACTGTCCCAAGTTTCAGGGGTTTTCTGTAGCTATTTTCAGAGACACTTCTATGGATCTGTACATTTTCAGTTCCTCCAAGGTAGTATGATCAAAGGAGAGGTGTTTTCTCCTTGTCTGGCCTGTGCTCTGGTCTATGACTGACCACAGGCACTCTCTTCTGCCTTGGAACTGTGAGGAGGATTCCCCCTCCACTGCCACTACAAGTTCCGCTAAGCCAGCGCTCCTTCTCATCCCAGGACCTCCACCCAGGACTGCAACCCAGATTCAAGCATGGGCAAAGCAAGAAAATCCTGCCACAGCACCAGCAAAGAGATTCCCCCTCTGATCAGCCACATGATCCCCACGCTGTCTGTGATATGTTAGAGAATTGCTGTAGCAATGAGAGGCTAAGCACCTACAACAAGTCAGGCACTGTGCTAAGCACAGGGGATACAAAAGCAGCAAAAGACAGTCCCGGCCCTCAAGGAGCTTTCAATGTAACAGGGGAGAAAACAGGCAAATAAATATATACAAAGTAAACTACACACACGGGATAAATAGGAAGTAACTAACAGAAGGAAGACTCTAGAATTAAGAGGGGTTGGGGAAGGCTTCCTGTAGAAGGTGGGATTCTAGCTGGGACTGAAAGTCATGGGGGACAGCCAGAGAAAATGTCCAGAGCCAAGATTTGGAGATGAAGATGATGATGATGGTGGTGGTGGTGGTGATGAAAGATATAAGTATTTTTTTTTTTTGGCTAGGCAATGGGGTTAAGTGACTTGCCCAGGGTCACACAGTTAGTAAGTGTTACGTGTTTGAGACCGGATTTGAACTCAGGTCTTCCTGAATCCAGGGCCAGTGCTCTATCCATTGTGCCACCTAGCTGCCCTATAAGTATTTTATAATAGGAAAAGATCTAAGGATACTAAAATAGGTCATGCTGCCCTTTACACCACGGCGTATGTGACCTAACAATGCTATGCATCTGAGGCTTGGGGGAGGATTTGGAATCAAAAGCTGTGGGTTCAAATACTGCCCCTGCAACTTGACTAACTGTGAAGCTTTATAAATCACTTTAACTCTTTCAGTCCCAGTATCATCATCTAAATGCTGGTATCTCACCTATTGTACTAAAAGGGTGGATGAGGGGCTGCAGATTAGCTTAATCAATGGATGATAAACTTGGAACTGTAAGTAAACTCAGACCACATAGTCACATAACAATAACAATAATCATAACTGGCATTTTTATAGCCCCTTAAAGTTTGAAAGTGCTTTACATTTGATCCTGGGAGGTAGAGGCTATCATTATCTCCATTATACAGGTAAGGAAACTGAGGAAGACAGAAGTTAAGTGTCTTGACCAGGGTCACACAGCTAGTCAGTCTCTCAGGTAGGAACTGCATTAAGTATTTCTGACTCCAAGTCCTTGACTATCCCCTGGGCTACCTAGCTGCCTTAGGAACCTAGCCCAGACCCCTTATTTGAAACATGAGCAAATTGAAGTCTAGGGTAGTTAAGTGACTACCTGTGTTAAAAGTCACACAAGTAGTTAATATTAAATGGGGTATTTGAACCCGGAATCTCTGGTTTAAAACCTAGAGTTTGTTTCTTTTTTTTTTTTTTTTCATTGTAACACCCTGCCTCCATAAAAGCTACGGGACAATAGCACTCTTTTTTTGTCCTTCATCTGGATCTGTAAATATTCTTCAACTTTTCTGTCAATTTGATGGATAGATGGTATGCCAAAAACAGGTCTTTAAATATGAAATGTGACAAATTCAGGGGTCATATGGCCACAGAGTCATAGATTTAGAGTCAGAAGGGATTCCAAAGGCCAGCTGGTCCAATCCGCTCGTTCTACAGATGAGGCAAACGAGAGCCAGGGTGTTTAAGTAATTTGTGTAAGGCCCCTCCGAAACAATAACAACAACTAGGTGGTTGGTCAGTCATTACTCTTGGTGCTCAGAGAACAAAATGACATCACTGTGTTGGGATTAATGTGTCCAGGTGCGGCTGATCAGACCAGTAATAGCTCAGAACGCTCTATCACAGGTCGGGCACAAACAGTCCATACGAACATTTGGAGATGATTGGTTGGGGTAGGGAAGTTGCCCAGGAAAAACAGAGAATTAGAGAAAGATTTTCTTTTTTTATTTGCTGCGCACACACACACACACACACACACACACACACACACACACACACACAC